CTGTTTCAGCAAAAATGAGTCCAGTAGCACTTTAAAGACTAACAAATTTATTAGGACAAAAACTTTCCATGAGCTACAACTCACTTTCACAGATGCTGAAGAGGAAAAAAACAAAGGAAGGGATACAGAGATGGGAGTATGACATCAGTGCTAATTAAATCAGAGTGGATATGACTCATCTACAACATTGGTGAGAAGATCTGAATGGGAAATTACATATCGTAATGGGAGAACCGCTCCATGTGTCTATTTAAACTTTGTTTTAGGGTGTCAAATTTGCATATGAATTCCAGCTCAGCAGTTTCTCATTGCTTTCTTGTTGGAACCTTGTACTACTTTCTGTACTTAGCAAAATAGGTCTTTCATATACTGGACTGAGTTGATGTTCATAGTTATAGGCAGTTTCCTACACGTTGATTCACAGAGTAATGCAAGTATTTGCACGCCGTGCCTCCCAACATTTGCTCAAGTTTGCTTCCTCCACATATGGAACATCTTCTCTTAATGGAACCACATGGTGAGTTGCTGCTCATATTGCAACGTTGGATGCTCCCATGGAAAATGATACTCAACAGCCATTTTAACTCTCCTTTCATTATGGAAAAATATACTTCACAGAATTTACTGTCTGTTTGGGGGAAAGATGTTGAAAAGCGTGCATCTGAGGGAAGCGCTGTTCCCAAATATTAGCCAATTTCTGTCCAAGAAACAGGTCACACAGTTCCCTTCTGTGGAAATCTGAAATGGGTTCAGTGCATGAAGAGCTCAACCAGTTACTGGTGTCAATACAGGTGTAGGTGGATGAAATTCTATGGCCTGTGTTATACAGGTAGCCAGATTAGATAATGTAGTGATCCTTCCTGGGCTTTTAAAAAAACCAACAAAGAGCTAGGAATACAATGAGCACCAAAGTACCAGTGAGCACATTGAAAATCATCCTTAAAAATATTAAGGTAATGGAGGAATAGCATGAGCAGAAACATGAGGCTTTTGCACTATGAATAAGCAAGTGTTCATACTTGCTGCTTGTAAGACGTGTTTAAAACCAAACCATATATTACAAATATTTCAAAGATAATTAAGAAAATTCTTCAGTTTGTAGATAAATGGAAGTGCTAAAAAAAAATCTTGCAAAGTAAATAGAGAAAAAACAAAAGGGTTCTCAGCATAAAGGAATCAAAGGAAAAGCCAACACAGACAAAAGGATACATTGTTTGGTTCATCAGAAAAAGAATTCATTGGGGATCCGAGACTTCAGAAGGGAAAAAGGGAACAAAATCATGTGCATATAGCTCCTTTGATTTTTCTCCATGGTTTACCCTTTTGTATGTATACATTGATGGATATTTCCCATGCTTCTTTCCTTTGTCTTTAGAAGATTAATAATCATTTTATTACTTTATCATAAATTCTCTATGGGATTGTCAGTGGCCTTTGACAAGCCAATGTAAGTTAGGTTTGGCATCTATAAGCAACTCTATGTAAAAAAATTTAAGGTCTGGTGATAGGTGAATTGAAACAGTTCTTGTACAGCATCTGTGTATTTGTTCTTTCATTCGCCATCCCTCACACACCTCCCTGCCTCTGCCCTTTGTCCCAATATTCTTACCTAAAGAATTATTTGGAAATCCCTTGTTAGTTCAGGATGAATCTGACCAGACATGTTGTGAGAGGCATGTCAAGCTCATGAAAGAAACAGGAACTTTCCTTTCTACTCCCCCACCTCCACCCCACAGAAAAAAGGAGTAACTGCAACACCGGTTACATGTAACAGTTATTTCATAGTACAACCCACCACTCTATCCAACAATACAACACACACAGCACTGAGATTCACCACAGGCACAGCCATGAACAGTGCAGGGAGTTCCCCCTACTATGGATGCCTTAGGTCTCTAAATGCAGCAAGAAATTGTCTTGTTAAGAGTCCTGGCTGGACTTCCTTCTCTCTGCCCCTCCCCCCAGTCTTTATAAAAAAATTCATTCTGGAAAAATTAAGCCACCATCAAAAAGCTGAGATCTGAAAATTTGATTATCTGTGCCCCCAAAATTTCTATTTTCCGATTAAAATTGAAGGCAAATCATACTTTCCATTGTCTTCCTGTAACATTCCTCACCCAGGACCTAGTTGGGGAGTGTGGCTGAGTGGTCACAATCACAACCCCAGACTGCCAAAGGGGTTGCAGCCTGAACTCTCCCACTCCACTAAGCTCCAGCTCAGGGCCCCTTGGTATACAAGTAGTCTGGTAGTCAAGGCTGTCCTCCCTGGGCCAGTTCCTCTCATCTCCTTTGGCTTTGCTCTGCTCTACATGTCTGCTCACTTCCAGCTGTATCACCCAAATGAGCTAATTCCCTCTCTTCTGATTCCTCTGGCAGGTGGAGCATTTGCCTACATGAAACCAGGGCCAGATTTCCAAGATTAAGCATAGAAGGCACATGCTTAAAGGCACCAGCGTTCTAAGGGCATTTCACCTCTCTAAAACTGTGTGCAATATGAAGGTCACTTGTAGGGCAGGGCACTGAAAATGCTGCGTGTAGGGGCACATAAGTTATTAATCTGGCCAGACATGAAACCAAATATACCTTAAAGCTCTGCTGCCAACCCTGGCCTTCTGTTTTTAATCTGTCCAAGTTCTCCTTAGCTCGTTGTTCTTCTTCCAGAGCACCATCCTACAGTGCCACTCCCCTAGAGCCCTGCTCTTCAGTCAGGGACCACCACAGAGCTAACTTCACTCCCATTACTCCAGACAGTGGGAACTCTAGACCTCTTCTCCCCTGGCTCTTGTCTTTTCTTGCTGAGCTCCTTCCTTCTATAAGCCTAATTCATCCCCAACTTGGTGTGGTAAGAAATTATGCCTGATATACCATCCAGGTGTAACAAGGTGGGCTAATACAGTCTTGAAGCACCTGCTAACTCTTTATCATGGCATCATAGGGAGCATGAGACCATTAACTTAGGCCCAGTTCCTCAACTGCTGTAAATCAGCATAGCTCTATTGAAGTCAATGCAGCTACTGAGACTGACACTAGCTGAAAGCCAGTCTCAGAATTCTGTGGGGTTGCACAAGCCATAAGTCAGGGCAGCGTTTGGTCTTTGGGCTGGTACAGAAGCTAAAGACAATGCATTTCCCTTCCACAACTCTTTCAATATATACAGATTTCTCACTGTAAATGGCTTTTGCCAATTTGTAAGATTTTTGAGATGCAGGAGGTGTTGGTGTTGGTGTTACTGTGAAGTTTAAGAAGCATATTCCAGAACATGTTAGATTGGGCACGTGCCTGTTGCCAGACACCTGGCATGTTCTACAACAGTGGTCTTCAACCTTTTTAAGCACAAGGTCACTTTTTGAATTTAAGTGCAATCCAAGATCTACCTCAAAAGCAAACACCCTTGTCCTGCCTCCTTTTACCCCTTCTCTGAGGCCCCATCTCTGCTCACTCCATCCTTCGTCCTTCCCCCATCCTCCTTCACTTTCACCAGGCTGGGCAGATGGTTGGGGTACAAGCTCTGGTCTTGGATTCAGGGATTTGGTGTGTGAGAGGGGCTCTGAGCTAAGCCTGGGACAGGCAGTTGGGGTGCCAGAGGGAGTTCTAGGTGCAGGCTCTGGGAGGACATTTGGATAGAGGTGCTCAGGGCTAAGACAGGGACTTGGGGGGCAGGAGGGGGTTCGGGATGTGGGCTCCAGCTAGGCCCTGTTCAACTCAGGTGGGTGGTGGTGCAGTGGAGCTAAGGGAGGTTCACCCTTGTCCTGGCCCTGTACCATTCTCAAAAGCATCCAGAAAACTCCGTCCCAAGTCCTGCTGTGTCACTTCTCTGCTCTGTGGAGATAGGATACTGGGTGGGAAAGAGGGCACCTTGACATCAGCACCCCTCATCTCCCTCCCTGTCCTGCACAGCAAGCAGGAGGCCCCTGAGGGGACAGCTCCAAGGCAAAGGGCAGGAAATGCACAGCAGTGGGGAGAGGAGCAGCTGACCTGCCGGCCCTTGATAGCCTCTTAGCCAAACCCATCAAGATCACCTTTCAGAGGCTCAAAGATCTACCAGTAGATCCTGATCTACTGGTTGGTGACCACTGTTCTACAAGCTTTACGGGTCGGGAGAGGGGGACATGAAGTCATTCAAATCTTTCCAACAGGAAGATTCTCCTGGGATGGAAGTATAGTTATAGGCCGTTTCTGAAAAATTAAACAAGTGATACTGCAGCTAAAGTAATAAAGTTATTAAAGTTGGGCTGGGATGCTCAAGAATGAATCACTCCAAGTTTACTTCCAAGTTCAAGGGTGGCCTTTGGAGAGGGCCAAACATCAAAAGATGGTCATGCTTTCAAGCCTCATATGGGCTTAACCAAAATCCATGAAGTGGGGAACGCCAAAGATTTTTTTAAAAAAGTTACTCTGAAGTTCAACACCAGGGCTCAAACACAGAAGTAAATCAAAATACAAAAGTCAACTAGCCGTGCTGGAAAAATACCTTAACATTTTCTGATTTAGCCCTATGCAACCAGATCCTGTAGGATGCCAAGGGTCATCAACTCCCATGAGTTCCATTTCAAGTAGAGGCCACTCAGCAATTCCTAGAATTGAGGCATAAATGAATTAAATTAACTACAGTGAATGGTCAGCTTTCTGGTTTTTTTCATAAGCTTCCTTTCATAAATGTGCTCTCAAGGTAAAGTCACAATCGGAGGGGAGGCTGAAGGAAAAAAGAAAAACATCACATAGGAAATTACACTGACAATCATTTGACGTTAATCTTTTACTATGCAGTCTTCCCTTCCTGCTTTGAATCCTAAACTCATCCTGGCATTAATGAGACATACTGTCACCAGGAAGGAAGAAAGTTAAAGCCGTGGTAGAAATGTATCTGTTGAGGGGATGCCAAATCCTCTTCATAACAATTACTAGGGTTCTGGGGGGAGGGTGTGGACAGAATGTTCTGACATTCCTGATTGTGATCACAATGTGTGAAGTGTACTGATTCCGAAGGAAAAGTTCTTGAGTAGGGGGAAGATGGCTAAGGTAATTTGCACATTTTAAAAACCAATCATACATCATTGGCTTGGAGTTAGTAAGTTAATATAAGTGTTCGGAAACAACCCCAGGCTGTGAAGAGTAGTCTCTCAAGAAAAAGACCAGTGGACACCCTCTCATAGTCTGTGAACCAGAGATAGTTTTCAATACTTGAGCTAAACTAGGGAGAAAAGAAATTCCCTGGGATACAGAGCGTGGAGAATGGCGTTTCAAATTCAAAGGTATTAAAAAAGAATTGAAATGTCTGTTAGGAAAAGAATGTCAAGCAAAAGAATAGCTTTAAGCTGGGATTGTTTCAGAAGCTTCTTAAAACTGAACCATGTCCCCACGGGACAAAGGAAGGAACCCTAGGAAACAAAATGTAAAAATAGCCTGTTAAGACCAATACAATGGGGACAAACCCAGTGGAGTGGAGCAGTTCTCTTGGGCTATGTCTACATTACCAGGTTATTTCAAAATAATAACTCCCAAAATAACTATTTTGAAATAAACTTATTCCTCTTCCCAAGCAGGAGTTATTATTTCAAATTACAAGCCTATTATTTTGAAATAACAGGCTTGGTAGTGTGGACACTATCTTTAATGTCCAGTCACAAGTAGCACTAATGGCAGGGATCCCCTAAATACTGTGTTTGAAAGTACCTATCATTTTAGCATTTGGGTTTTGCTCTATTTAAGTACACTAGGCAAGTACCATTGCACGTTCTGTTATTACCCCCACCTTAATAGATCCTAAGGGTATGTCTACACTACCCTCCTAATTCGAACTAGGAGGGTAATGTAGGCATACTGCACTTGCAAATGAAGCCCGGGATTTGAAGCCTAATCTGAACTAGCTACTCCGTGCCGCGTGTAGCCGCGTGGCACGGGGTTCGAACTGCCGGCATTTAAAAATGGCGCCGGCCGGCTTCCTGCAAATGAAGCCCAGGAAATTCAAATCCCGGGCTTCATTTGCAAGTGCGGTATGCCTACATTACCCTCCCAGTTCGAATTAGGAGGGTAGTGTAGACATACCCTAAGTGAGCTAAATTATTTATTAGGAAACACTGGGTCTTTTCAAATAACTTTATAGGTAGGGACCTGATCCTACAGCCACTTAAACCAATGGTCTAACTTATCTTGACTTCTGAAGAGAGCAGGATGAATTCCTTCAGCTAATTATATGAGACCCACACAAACCATATCTATGTGGCCTCGGCATAAAGCCTCGGGAGACAAAAAAGGATGAATTACTTAAAGTTTGTAGAAAGGATTAGGCACCCTATTCCACAGTTCATCCATAAATTAATTTTCCCCTCAACTCTCTCTCTCTCTCTCATACATACTCACAGCTTTGTTTATTCTGAACTCCGCCAGATACATTCCATCACTATCCCTCCAAGCCCATCAGTAATCCCTCCCAGGGTCTACAAAGACTCATGTCAATAAACCACCAGTTTATTCATGCTCCAGATGACGTGTTTACACTACCAAGGGCATCCAGTGTTCATTCACAAAGCTGGAGGGTAGGGTTTATTTGTTAATGCACTGAACACAATTAGAACACTTGAGGACAGTGCCTTCACATATGTAACATGTTTCAAAATTTTTGAGTTAGAAGATTTTCCTCAATCTTGTAATTCATGGTTTCCTGCAAAAGGAACAGAACATACCAAATCATTACAAATCTTTTTAATCATTTCTCCTAAGGTCCTTAATATTGTGTTTAGTATGCAGCCAAGAAAATGTTTCCCCATGAAAAGTAATTCTAGAAGGCAAAGTCCATCTAGCTTATCAAATCTTCCTAAACAAAGCTGTATATCATAGCCCAAGGATGGAATTGATAAAGGGATTAAGTGCCTAGGAAGTCACAAGAACAACACTGCACAAAGCCTGATACCATATCTACACAACCAGCTGAATCGGCACTTCTGCAATTGATGCAGCAATGTCAATTTAGCTGGCCTGGTGAAGATATGCTAAGACCATGAGAGAATGCTCTCCCATCGATGTCTGTATTTCACCTCCCAAGAGGCAGAAGCTATGTTGATAGGAGAGCATTTCCCATCAACATAGCACAGTGATGACACAGCTGTAAATCGACTAAGTTACATTGACTTCAGTTGCGTAACTGAACTAGTGTAACTTAGGTCAACTTCAAGCATGAGTGTAGACTAGCCCTGAGTTGCATGTCTAGGGTCCTATACAGTGAATGAAGAAAAATAGGTGCATTAGATTATGATCCACCAAGCCATCATAGTAGGCAGGGAACTATCTAAGTTTGCCAGTAGAACATGCCAATCACAAGGTGTATCCTAATCTTCACCTCCCAGCATCTCATCTCTGATAGCACCCAGTAGCAGATGCTTCAGAGGACAGCGAAAGAAGTTTTGCTGGGGTCAGCTACAGAATGACCTGCCACGAACATGAGTTCATTCCTGTCAGTCAGTGGCTGTCATAAACTGCAGTTCCTTGGGGCATAAATCTCTTATATTTGTTTTTAATCTGATCCAAATATATGTCTAGTCTTTTTCTAAATCCTGCTAAGATCCTGGCTTCAATAATATGTGCTGGCAGCTTAACCCCAATTCATGCAGTGTCACATACCCTTAAGTTGTCCTGTAGCACCTTATAGACTAAGGCTATGTCTAGACTGCAGGCTTCTTTCGAAAGAGCCTCTTTCGAAAGATCGCGTCTAGACTGCAGGCGGATCTTTCGAAAGAGAAATCCGCTTTTTCGAAAGAGAGCACCCAGCGAGTCTGGATGCTCTCTTTCGAAGACGGCCTCTTTACATTGAAGAACGCCTTCTTTCGAAAGAGGAACTTTCGAAAGAAGGCGTTCTTCCTCGTGAAACGAGGTTTACCGCCATCGAAAGAAAAGCCGCGTTCTTTCGAAATAATTTCGAAAGAACACGGCTTGAGTCTGGACACAGGGGAAGTTTTTTCGGGAAAAGGCTACTTTTCCCGAAAAAACCCCTGAGTCTGGACACGGCCTAACAGATGTATTGGAGCATAATATCCTTGCCTTATTTACTACCCAGCATCCACCCCCTGCTCTGCTAACACAGTTACCAGTTTCTCCTGGGCTTTTGTGTGATCTGTTTCAATTCAATCTACCCTCATAGGTCATGTTTTCTAGACCTGATTCATGTTGCTCTTCTCTGGATTCTATTCAGTTTGTCCACATCCTTCCTGAAATATCGGGCTCAAAATTGAACACAATACTCCGGAGCAGAAGAATTCCTTCTCGTGTTTTATTTACAGCACTCCTGCTAATACATTTCAGAATCCTTTTTATTTATTTATTTATTTTTATTTTTTTGCAATAGAGTTACACTGTTGACTCCTATTTAGCTCGTGATCCACTATGATTGCCAGATGCTCTTCCACAGTACTCCTTGACAGTCATTTCCCATTTTGTCCTTCTTAAATGGAGTAGCTTATTGTATTTCATCCTATTTACTTTTGACCATTTCTCCAGGTTGTCCAGACCATTATGAGAATGAACCAGTGATGGTGTGGCTGATCTGGTTCGGTCCTGTGATGATGTCGCTGGTATAGATATGTGGACAGAGTTGGCACTGAGGTTTGTTGCATGGACTGGCTCCTGAGTGAGAGTTACTGTGGTGCGGGGTATAGTTGCTGGTGAGAATTTGCTTCAGGTTGGCGGGTTGTCTGTGGGCGAGGACTGGCCTGCCTCCCAAGGCCTGTGAAAATAAGGAATCATTGTCCAGGATGGATTGTAGATCCCTGATGATGCGTTGGAGAGATTTTAGCTGAAGACTGTAGGTGATGGCCAGTGGTGTTCTGTTGGTTTCTTTCTTGGGCATGTCTTGTAGTAGGAGGCTTCTGGGTACATGTCTGGCTCTGTTAATCTGTTTCCTCACTTCCTCATGCGGGTATCATAGTTTCAACAATGCTTGGTGAAGATCTTGTAGGTGTTGGTCTCTGTCTGAGGGGTTGGAGCAAATGTGGTTGTACCTTAAGTGCTTGGCTGTAGACAATGGATCGTGTGGTATGCCCGGGATGGAAGCTGAAGACATGAAGGTAGGCATAGTGGATGGTATGTTTTCGGTATAGGGTGGGGTTTATGTGACCATCACTTATTTGCACCATTGTGCTTGGTGCAAATCTGTTAGATAACTTCAGTGTTTCCTTATAACAGTAAAGTTTTCAGATGGGGGATAGGTTTGTTTTTTAAGCATCTGTCCATTTTAGACCTGTACTGATGTGAACAACAACTTCAAAACACTGCAGGTAAGGTTCAATCCAGATAACATTTCAGTGAAATCTTATGGAAACATTATTGCCATGCGGGTGCCCATAGCAGTGCCACTGGTCTGGAGGTATATATTGTCACCAAATTTGAAATAGTTGTGCGTGAGGATAAAGTCACAGAGCTCAGCCAACAGTTGTGCTGGGCATCATCTGGGATACTGTTCCTGACAGCTTGTATCCCATCTATGTGTGGGATGTTTGTGTAGAGAGCTTTTACATCCATGGTGGCTAGGATGGTGTTTTCTGGCAGATCACCAATGCATTGTAGATTTCTTAGGAAATCAGTGGTGTCACAGAGATATCTGGGAGTGCTGGTGGCGTAGGGTCTGAATAGAGAGTCCACATATCCAGACAATCCTTCAGTGAGAGTGCCAATGCCCAAGATGATGGGGCATCCAGGATTTCCAGGTTTGTGGATCTTGGGTAGTAGATAGAATAACCCTGGGCTCTAATGGTGTGTTGATTTGTTCCTGGGCTAATGTAGGGAGTGTCCTGAGCAGATGGTGCGGATTCTCAGTGTATTCCTCAGTGGGATCTGAAGGAAGTGGCCTGTAGAATTTGGAATTGGAGAGTTGTCTAGCAGCCTCCTTTAGGTAGTCAGGCCTGTTCATGATGACAACAGCACCTCCTTTGTCAGCCTCTTTGATTATAATGTCAGAGTTGTTTCTGAAGTTGTGGGTGGCATTGGACTCCTTGTCGCTTTTGCAGATCCAGACTAACAGGCTACCCCTCTGATACTTGACCCTTAATTTGTACATTCTTCACTGCAGAGTGAACTGGATAGACACCCAATTCCATATAATCCATTCATCTTCTAATTGTCTAGTTAAACTGAGGTTTCACTTTTTTGTAGCAGGGTCTCAAGGGCTACATCTACACTGCAACACTATTTCAGGATACCTAAGTATCCCGAAATAGCTATCCTGCATCTTAAAAGCAAGCCCATTATTTCAGGCTCACTATTC